AAAAATTTAAATGTAATTAATTTGAAAAATAAATTTAAAAAAATTAAAAAATAATCAAAAATAAATAAATTAAATAAAAAACAATAATAATTAAATAAATAATTAAAAATAATTAAAAAATTAATATAAAATTAAAAAAACAAAATTAAAAATTAAAAAAAAAAATTTAAAAATAAAAAAAAATTAAATTAAACAAGCATAACAGTGTAAAAATATTCCTATAATTGATTTCACCACCTTGCATGTACAGCTGGGTTCTTATTAAGACTTATGAAGGTTCTCTCTACCTTCTAATGCTTCCAGAAAAGACTTTAGACAGTATCTCTATGTTCTTTCGCTGTTAGAAAGCTCATAACTTTGTTCCATGTGCAAACCGCCATTTTGTTTGTCGTGACCACACCCACTTACGTAGCGTGGGCGGTGGTTGCTAGGGCTTGTTATTTCTCCAATACAACGTGTATAGAACAAATGAAGTGTTGACATACAATCAAATATATATATATCGCACGTGGGTGAAATCAATTATAGGACGACCTGGGGGCTACGCCCCCAGGTCGTAAAAAATTTTTTTAATTAAAATTTAAAAATTTAAAAAATAAACTAAAAGCTATATTGATTTATTTATTTCAATCTTAGTTACAAAAATTTCAATCGATGGCTCATGCTCACCCCTCAATGCTTACATTCACATTATGCATAAATTATTATGATAATATGCATTTTTACTGTAAATAGCACTACTTAAAGCTTCAGTAGTTTAATTACAGTTAGAAGTGCTGTACCTCCTGTTATCAGGATACACTGTAGCAAAGGAGAAGAGTGTTCCCTTTTGTCTGGTATCAGGATTAACTTCCTTTACAAGAGACATCAGTTCTCTCAATGTACAATCCATCCTATGCAACACACAGCAAAGAAAAATGAAAAATGAGAAAAATCACAATAAAGAGTAGATGATTTTTGGAGTAACTTTAATAATCCATTAAAAATTACATAATATAAGAACATGTATAAGTATCAAAAATAAATATTAAAATGGAGGGTTCTCTCCCAGTCATTTTTGACAAAATTTGACCAAAGGCCCTGTACTGTATAGTACAGGGACTTTGGCCCAATTTTTGAGCAACTTTAAAAATTCACAAAAAATTCAATTTTGATCGGAATTAGCTCAAACTTGCTACACAACATAAGAACATGTATATGCATCAGAAAAACTTATAAAAATAGAGAATTCTCTCCTAGTCATTTTTGGCAAAATTTGGCCAAAAACCCTGTACTATAGTACAGGGACTTTGGCCCAATTTTTGAACAACTTTAAAAACTCGTAAAAAATTCAATTTTGATCGGAATTAGCTCAAACTTGCTACACAACATAAGAACATGTATATGCATCAGAAAAAATTATAAAAATAGAGAATTCTCTCCTAGTCATTTTTGGCAAAATTCCCTGTACTACTATAGTACAGGGACTTTGGCCCAATTTTTGAGCAATTCAAAAAATCCATAAAAAACCAATTCTTATCAGAATCAGCTCAAAATTTCTAAAAAGCTCAAGAACATGTATACGTACTAGAAAAAGTATAAAAAGAAAAAATTCTATCCTAGCAAATTTTGAAAAAAAAATACCCCATACAGTATTATTTTGTCAAAGTTTTGAGCAATTTTAAAATCCACTATGCCTTAACACAACTTAGTGCCTTCCCGGCAGAGATTTATAATTACCAAGTGTAGATCTGTAGTTCATTTGAAGGTACATTTCCTCTCATGAAACTATCCAGTCTATGAAATGAAATGAATTTAGACTAGTAGCAGTCTTCCATCACTCACCTGTGATGTCTTCCTTCATTACAAAAGACTCTTAGTAAAAAAGGGCAAGTCTGAGAGAGAGAAAAAGAGATCAAGAGACATCCAACACTCAGAGCAAACCTTTTCCCTATCAACAGTGTAAGGCTCTACTTCCTGTTTCTTTTCTTCTTCTCCTTCTAGAGGAGCGTCTTTCTTGACTTCATGAACTTCTGAGGCCGCCATGTGTATCTAAGCCCAGCCCATTAGATACATTAACGTTTGAAATTAATTTTAAATTTTAAATAACTGAGCTACATTAAGCATGTTAAGTGTATGCATTGCTAGAGCTACATTAATCTACAATTCTACATTAATAATTAATAGTGTAATTGTTTCAGCAACCAATGGCCACTGGGTGTTCAACACGATTGAGTGTGTTCCCATTCATAAGACGACAAACTACTAGCATCAGGCCGTATCACAACAGGAGCAGATTCAGACCTTGTCAATCTTCCGTGATCATCAAGTGAATATTCAGAAGATGATGTACTCCAGGTGTCTTCCATTTCTGAAGGTGAATAGTCAGATTCTGTCTCCTTGATAGAAATAATTAAATAAAATTAAAATACGGTATGATGAAACACACAGTTTTACCTCATAGTCATTTTCATCTTCAACACTGTCACTATTCTCACTATCCTCATCTTCATATGAGGAATACAAGAGATCAGCACCAAATAGATGCCAAATTGATGCAAGAGAGTCATCACTGGAACTAAGAGCATAATAGACATCACTGGAGCTACAGCTGAGGACATCATCTTCCTCAGCAAACTCGACATGTTTCACTGGAGGCTCTGGAGTCCTCAAATTGGGGATGCTGATGAGATTGTTAGCCCAATTTTCTAATTCTTCTTGAATTTCACCAAAGAAATCATCATCAGCTATATTTTTAGAATCATCGAGAGCAGAGCTCTTATTTGCAAGAGGAGCTGTAGTGCTCTGGATATCGGCAGCTATAGTGTCATCACTAATGGCACTGATGATTCCTTCAATATTGGTCGTGAATGTAGTGTCAACAGGAACAACATCATTGTTGCCTGGTACAGTTATTAAGCCACTCAGACCCTTGACTTTAGCCATACTATTATCACCATCAGCAGCATCCATCACTGTAGCATCAGCATTGACATCAGTAGAAGTTGAAGAGTGGTCATCGAAATTGATGTCAATAGATTGATATGAATGATCATTATCTATAGGCTTGCTAATGGGGGCAGCATCAGAGGATTCAGTATATTCCATAGCAGGCTCAACATCATCAGGAAACATTTCGTTATCATTATCGTTGGTGTTACTAATTTCAGAAAAGACACCACTTTGGTGAGTCTTGAAGAAATCACAGATTTCGTTCATCTGTAAGTAAAAGTATGATAATTATAATTGCAAGTTTTGGTTAAATTTTACTTTTGCCTTTTCAGTGGAACTGTAGGTTTCCACATGGAAAGTACCATCTTTATCTTTTATGATAACAAGAAATGTTTTATCACTATTGATACTTTTAATGATTGTGACAGAACTAAGAGCTAATTTCCTGGTTCCTCTCTAAAATGAAAAGAGAATACGAGTGAATAGATTATGTGTCTTGCACATGCACATACTTTTCCTTCAATGACAAAGTGATCATCTTGTATCTCAAATAGAAACTTTTCCTTGTTTTTAAGTTTCTTTTTTGATATGGTATAAGCTTCAATGCAAAGCTTACAGACATCTCCAAGTCCAGACTGTGAGCGCGTTCTTCCCATAAACTGTTTGGTAAAATCATCATGACATGATAGCTAAAAATGCATTACACATCATACCTTTACATTGCATTTCAATTGATTGCAATCTGCAATAGCTTCTCCTTTAGAATAAAAACAGTTAAGAGACTGTGATAATCCCATAATATCAGCTTCACGAGCAGCACTAACTGTTGAGCAAGAGTAGCTTGATGAAGATGACAGTTTATTTACCTAGTTCGCGAAAATTATTTTGTTTTCCCGCTCGCCGTTGTGGCAACATGCGCACAATGGTTATTAAAATCCGCTGCGCATGTTGCTATGGCGGCGGCAATAAACATTAAACAGTACTTAAAATAAAATTTCTGTGCAAACTCCAGTTGTCCACAATAGTGTGTAGAGTAGAAACAAACCGCAAGATAGCTTATAAAAAATGTTAAACAACAGCTGAGAAATGATTTCACACTATAAATAAGTTACTATATAGCAGCAGCATAATGAGAAAAGGCTTGATAGGCTTGATTAATTTAAAGTCAACTGTGCTTCAAGTATTGCTCTGAGAGTTGAATTAAGCTTCAGATCAGTTACCTAATAAAACAATGAAATACTAATAGCAATATTATTTAAGTTTTCCTCACAGAATTATATGTATCCTCTATGTTATCCCTGAATCCATTGATCAGTGATCCGATATCAGTTGGTGAGTATGTTATTCTAATACCAGCTTCAGAAGCATCGATCAAACTTCTGTAATCTTCTTGATAAACTTGAGTTGCAAGTCCCCACTATGTTAAAATTTTATATAACACAGCTGTTAATTTAATAATAATATAATAAAGAATGATGAGATTACCTGGTTATCAAGTAATTCTTTAAGGCTTCTAAGACGTCTCACCATACCAGTGAATCCAACACTCTTGGACTCTCCATTGATATTGATATTGATATTGTATGGATCAAACACATTGAACTGTGTATATGCTACTTGGACATTCACTGCATCACTAGTAGCTTGTGGTGTCACAATAATAACAATGAGGGATAGAGTACTATAAATAATTAAAACTAAAAACAAATAATTCATTATAAATATAGTACCTCCCATCATAAGTCCAGCAGTCACTGGTATATTCATCAAATGAACCTCTTAATGGACAATAACTTAATGAATTTGAGTTAAGCTGGACTTCCTCAGCTATCAATAGAGTGTACATGGATATTATAATACATTGAGTCTAAGGCTTACCTGGCCAGAAGTTTGGAATAACAATTTGGTAGCTTCTTTTTGATGGAGAGCCATCATAAGTACCAACAAATTGGCCAATACTTACTGTAAGTTCCTCTCTAAAAGAATACACATCCCAATGAGAGGGCACAATTATTCAATCATGATTACTTTGAAGTGTCATGTTTGTAAGAAAAGTTACAAGAAGATGAGTTATTATTAATATAACCTTCAGTAACACCATCATCCTCATATAAACTACCTACACCACTAAATTAATAATAAAAATAGTTAATAAATTAATCTTACTAATAATTACTTACTCAGCTGCATCTCCAATAAACACCATCAGCTTTAAACTAGTGACAGGTCTAGAGGCACTTCCCAATGGATCTATAAATTATTCATCTAATGATAC